AACTAAATAGAGTGAAGTAAATCAACGTACTAATTTCTCTATCTACATCTTCGACGACTTGTCCATATCCTTGAATAACTGCACTACGGTAATTGTAATCTGGAGATTGTCAGTCTTTTTCTCTTCTTTCTTTCCTGCATCTTTCTTCTGCTTTCTTTTCCCTCGCTTCATCCTTTCTACTCTTCAGGTACCTAGGTATGTGAATATTGTCGAATGGAGTAGAATGAATAAACTCAATACAACACCACCACTCCCCAAAAGAAAACCGACCAAGAATCAAAACGAAAATAAAAAAACAAGACAAGAGTCAAAGAAAACAACCAACTAACTATGATTAAAAGGCGCAAGCGCCAAAACCAATCCATCCAAACAAGTCGCCGCAACCGTCATAGGTAATCCTTTTTCCTCCCCATCATCATTATCAACATTATTATTCTCTCCACCTTCTCCTTCTCCAGCATTCTTTCCCATCCTCATTAATCGACTACTTACATAACCGTGTATGTATATATTTGCTCCTTCGCCTATATCTTCTTCATCGGGGTTTTGCGGGTTGTATTTACCTGCGAAACCTATCATGGGAAGGAGAGCGGGGAAGGGATCGGATGGTGAAGGGGTGTTGACTAGGAACGGGGGGAAGAGGTTAGTGGGTGCTTTGTGGTTGCGGAGGGGCGACTGTGGTTGGGGTTGGGATGGAAAGGGGGAAATTGAAGGGGGGATATAATCAAGAAGTGACGGGGAGAGATTTAAAAATCGCCATGATGACGAAGAGTAAGATATAAAAGTAGAAAGTAAATAAAACAGAATATGAAACAAAAAACCACATGAACGACCCAGGGGTACATCAAATACAAAAAGACATAATAAAAAAGAAACAATTCAAACCTACAAGAAACATGCAAAAATGGTGAACTATTTATAATACTATGAATAGTGTGATGATCGTATTTTGCTAGATGATGTAGAAAGAGTGGATTAGTTTGCTGGTAGTTAAATAATAGATTGGGAAGGATAGATACTCGAGTATATGGAGAAAATGTATGGATGAGAGTGAGATGTAGGGGAAAGGAAAGGAAGGGAAGGAAGAAGGGATGATTAATGAGTGATACATGATGAGGAAAACGGAAGAGTGAAAGTGGGAAGTGATGAGTAGTGCATTGCAGTAACGGAAATAGAAAACAGGGAATTTGGAATAAATAATGAGAAAGAGTAGGAGTCAAATATAGGAAAAGAAAGAGATCAAAAGCAAGAGAAGAGAAAGAGAAATAAAATACCTAGATTTCTATATCTCTGCACGGTATTCCGTGGTGTTTTGGGATATGTAGAGATTTCCGAATCGGACATGTTGAGTATAGTTTTGGCGAGCGGGTAGGTAGTTTTTGGAAATTCCCTGTCGTTGTCGTCGTTGTCGTATTCTCTCCAACCTTAGAAATCTTGTAGATTTTTACAAAAATCTCAAAGATCACCAATTCTCAGCGTTTAATTTCCAACTTATCACTTCTTCTTCACTGGTAAATAGTCGTACTCGTGCTTCCTTCTCCCTCAACTTCAAATTCAAATATAAAATATCGAATATAAATATCCGATCTCAAATCTTAAATCCTAAATTTCAAAAGTCGAAAAAACGTGAAAACTTTCACTTCTTCAATCGATTCACCTATCCATTCATCCGTTTATTCCCACCCTTCTATCTTCCCTCTTATATACATACCAACTCTCTCTCTCCCTTCTCTGTGATCCATCGCACAACCATTCAAACCCCGCAAATCCCAGTTCGCGCAACTCCAAAGCACACATAAAGTAACATACTTACTCGTACACTACGCACACAAGTGGGGAGCTAATTACCCCTTTTAGCAAGTCCACGCGAAAAAACACAAGCGAGAAGCATGTGAAAAACGGCCCAAGTCCGCGCGCGATTTACGATTTACGATTTACGATTCACGATTTATGATTTACATTTACCCATCATCCAACAAATTATCCCATCTACTCAAGTAGTAAGTACTCGAGTCAGAATATTGAAATCATACATATTTATAATGCAACGATGTCCTAGCGATTAAGGTTAAGCATTGATATTCATGTACAGAAGTGTTACGTCGGACAGTAACATAGGTCACGTTCTTGATCACATGATCAAGAAACCGACAAATCGAGATCGGCTTTGCGGTGATCGAATTGTCGGGCTTATAGCCATCGGTTTTTAAGGAGGCACGAAGGTCTATATAATCAAGATGGATTTCCTTTGTATAGAGCTTCGTGCTCAAGATCAATCATTTAGTATACTCTACTATTAGTTACGAATTGCATATCATTATTGTCATTACTTTAAGTCCCTGCTTGACGCCTAGTTATAAACCACCTCGAGAGCCTAGAGCACTTCCACGTGATCTAGACGGCAAACCTCGTAACAGATATGCATGCATGCATGCATGTTGATCGCGATTACTTTCCCCGTATGTATATATATATGCATATGTATTATTATGATATCCGGATCCTCAAAGAAAGAAAGAAATTTCATGTACAAGGCAAATTACTAGAAATCCGTTATTTGGCTAAACTAAGTCCACCAGTCCTGCAGTTGTAACACTACAGAAAACCAGAGTAAATCCAACCAGATACATGGTATCGCATCAACTCAACAAAGGCACATCAAAATAACATCAAATACACATAATTGGGTATTATATCGTATAAAACAAGAAGCCAACTGCCAATTTTGCGCCTGCGCCACATACATCATCCATCCCATCCCATCCCTTCATATCAAATCCCGTGATAAATTCCAGTATCCCATCACTACATTACAAGCTTCATCATCCCCAAAACATTTGTCCACTACTCCCTATCCCAGTCCCAAACATGATATGTCCATAAATATTCATCCCCGTCCAATTCTCTATTTTCATGTGCATCATCTAGACTCGCCTGTAGCTCTTTCGCAAATTCCCAAATTTCATCCAATGTATATCTGCCACCGTCTAAATCTGCTCGTAAACGATTCCAGAAGTCTTTATCTTCTAAGCCATGCTTTTCATATTCGTACTTTGCTCTAAAATAAGCATAGAATCTTTCTTTCTCCTCATCGGGGACATCATCAAAGCTAGGTGGTGCTTTTGGTTCTGGTTCTGGTTCTGGTTCTAGCTCTGGCTCTGGCTCCGGCTCTCGTTCTGGTTCCGGTAGGAGAGGAGATGTAGAATCTCTTCTTTGGAATTGCGCAAAAATGCTGTTGCTGTATCTTTTAGAGAAAAGAAATGGAATAGGGGTGAATGGTCGTTTACCTATTGGCGTCATGGGGAGGGACGTAATCTTCTAAGAATGGATCATTCCGTTGGTCATCCCAGTCATCCCAGTCATCGATTCTTCGACTTCCATGTGAAATGGTAATATATTCCTCTCGTTCTTCTTGTGTAATTTGTTGCATAGGTCTCGTCGCCTTTTTGGCACGTTCCGCTTCTAGCTCACGTCTGATCCTTTCAGCTTGTGGAAGCTTCCTGTACTCATTCCTTTTCATCTCAAGTTTAATCAAACGAGCTTTCTCTGGATCATTCATCATACGTCTTTCAACACCTTTATTGTATGCTCTAATCTCTCGATCTCTCTCTTCCTTTTCAATCTTTCGCGTCTCATCTTCTTCTTGTTCAGCACGTATTTTTTCTTGGGTACTAGCAAGAAGCTTCTCTCGCATTTCCTCGTCTTCTCTGTCACGGAGCCTCTGCTGGCAATTTTGCAATAATTTAACTCGCAGAAGATGTCGAAGTTCTCTCAATGGTTGCTTCGTCTGACCGCGATCCACGGGCTGAAATTCCTTGTTCTGTCTGTCAAGATTATTAAAAAGTCCAAGGATTATTTTAGTGATCTCAATCACCACTGATAAATCTTTCTTTGATAACGGTTCGTAGCTCCCATACGTAAGAATGGCGGTTTTCAGGACTTTGAGGAATTTCCGAATGAGAACAAAGTAAAGATCCACCAAAAATTCACGTCTTCGATTTTCATAATGTTCAACAACATCTTCATACAAAGGCTCTAACAAATTGTTTATCCTGTGCTTCAAGGCATCAATACTCCGATCAATGTCCAAATTCGCTTGAATTTGATCAACATCATTCTTCTCATCCATCGCATATTTAAGATCTCGATAATGTTCTTGAAGCTCCTTTAGAGATCTTTCGATCCTCTCTCCCGATTTTGTTTTAACGCCGCGACTCTCAGATGTTACTGTTTCCCATATGCCATTAGTTTCTTTGCAACCGAACCGTTTTGAAATCCTTTCAACGTTTCGGAAAAAATCGAGGCCAATAATCCCTTTCCAAAGAGTAAGTTTTCGGCTAAGCTGCCGATCGGATCCTTCCCTAAAATCCGTATTATCATCGGCTTCCTCTTCAGCTTCATCGGCAATATCTTCAGCCGCTTGTCTCAGTTCCTCTCCGACTTCTGCGGGTATCTTCTCTCTGCGTCTTGAGTGGAGCGGAGACGGAGTCCTGTTGTTATGGATACTCTTTGCATGGTTACTGCTAATTTTCCTCGCCTTCTCCGCACTCCTCAGGTGATGTTTTCTAGAAGCCGGAAGTTTTGCTCTTGCTGGACTTTTTACAGGACTTTGACTCATGATCAAGCCTGTTATGCCGTCCTCATCGCCGTCTTCTGCGTCATCATTGTCATCTTCCCCCCTTTGCTGAGCACTTGTAGGACCATTCAAGGCATCACCTTCCTCTTCCTCTTCCTCGTCGACTTCTTCAGCTCGCCGGGCGTTTCTAGGAACGGTTTTGCTATTATTTGCCGGGTCGGAAAATGTTGCATCTGAATTTTCACCCCCATTATCCGATTCGTTGTTCGCTGGAGCCACAGGCTCATTTTGAAAAATCGGTTCCTTGTAGACCGAATTCTTACGAGGGCGACCCCTACCCCTTTTAGAAACTATTGTATATGATTTCTGTTTAAGGATGTCCTTCGTCTTTGGCCTTTTACTTGGTCGCTTGAAGGGTGTAAGTTGATGATTGTCCTGAGCATCACCCTCGTCTTCAGGAATACTGTAATTAAAAATTTCGTCATCTCGTTTGCGCTTCCGCGGCGAAACATTTGGAGGTTCTGGGATATCTTCAGCTGTTCCTTTTCCTTTCCTACTTGGTCGGCGAAGTTGTTTCTGAGGATGCTTCTCCGTACTTTTGCTCGCAGAGAGGGATTTTCGCTGGTGATTTTCGAGTTCGTCCGTCATGTCTTCGGGCTCGAATCCGGATTGATTCGCAAGTAGCTGTGCATTCAATGCTTCTTCAACATCCTCCTCCTCTTCTTCTTCAACATTCTCTTCTTCCTCAGAATCTGCATCCGATTCTTGTTCGACTGACACGAGCTGTCGATAGCGACCGACGGTTGGAGCCTGCTTAAGTGCGACTGTCACCCTTCTCTGATTGGGCTTACTATGGATAATATTATTAATGAGGTTTGTCGATTCAGCATCATCGCGCCTCGCCGCCGCTAATAATAAATAGTTAGATATAATTGTAGAATTATCATGGTGTACTCTTACCTGCTTCTTGTAGTCTAGTTCTTGGCATAGTTGCCGAGCTTGTTTGTAAAAAAAAGGCCGGCCTCGAAAGCTTGCGCAAATATTTTTGTAGAGGTGTTCTTGGGAGAACTTACTCTCGAATGGGCAGATTGTGAGAATGATGTAGAAAAATGATCTAGAAGAATAGATCAATTAAACTCTGGGGTGCCGTTCATTCATAGTGAAGATTGAACGAAAAGGTCAACATTTGGATGTTTGGAGATAATCTGATATGGGGTCAGAATGCGGCAGTACTAATAAATAGAGCTAAATGTTTAAACCAATCAGAGGTCAATATTGATACAGACAAGGATACAGCTATTTGATATCATGATGCTTTTTGGTTGGCTGTAGCTTTCTTTGCCTTGCTTACCCCATGAAAAACATCACCAACTCAAACATTTCGAATTTATATCTTCATCAAATCAACAACAAAAATTGAAGATGGCTTCACAACAAAAGAATCAAAATTCTCCAGCAGACACTGGTCTATCACGAAGTTTACCAATTTTAGATTCATCACGACCTCATACTTTCATAAAGCCTATAAAGAGAATCCATGAAGGTCACGATGTGCCCCGCTTCCTCATATCAAAAGCCTATACGGATATTGGCGTGTTTGTTATGCAACTCAATATTGCTATGTGTCCTAGGAAATCATCTGATATAGGTCAAAAGGTTCAGACCTGGACATTAAATTCTTCCCTAGAATTATCGGAGCCTGTTAGGAAACTACAGGAATTATTACAGGATATCAATGCCATTATTGATGAAGCACCACCTGATACAGGACCAAGAAGATTTGGAAATGTTAGCTTTCGAAAGTGGTATGAAATACTGGAATCAAGAGCCAGAGATCTCTTGAAGCAATATTTACCGGCTGAAGTTCTTGAATTTGGGGGAAGTTCTCCTAATGACGAAGTATCGGCTTTGGATGAACTTAGTTCTTATTTGTTGGGTGGATTTGGGAGTGCGCAAAGACTGGATTATGGAACTGGTCATGAACTTAGCTTTTTAGCTTTCTTAGGATGTATTTGGAAGTTGGGTGGATTCACAAAAACATCTTCAAATCGAGGCGAGTTAGAGAGAAGTATTGTTACGGGTGTTATAGAGCCGTATGTTTATTCCTCCCGGATTCTAGAACAGCAGATTCTAATACATTCATCAGCTACTTACGTGTAATTCGTCGACTTATCCTCACATATACTCTAGAACCAGCTGGATCTCATGGTGTATGGGGACTAGATGATCATTCATTTCTACCATATATATTTGGGTCATCCCAATATTGTCCAGCTATTACTGATGATGAAGATATGCCAGTAGAAGGATCTTTACCCGAAGCTCCAAATCCAGGAGATGTGGCTAAGAAGATGACAGTTGATCGAGAAAGAAAGAATAACATGTATTTCTCGGCAATTGGTTTCATTAATGATGTGAAAACTGGACCATTTTGGGAACATAGTCCAATTCTTTTTGATATTTCCGGTGTGCGAGCAGGATGGGGAAAAATAAATAAGGTCAGTTTTATTCTTTGACAGCGATAGTCACTTCTAATACTTTCAGGGGATGATCAAAATGTACAATGCAGAAGTACTATCGAAATTTCCGGTGGTACAACATTTCCCGTTCGGATCATTATTTAGTTGGGGTCAAGACCCTCATGCTGTATCAACGCCTCAAACAATACATACGGCAAATCAGCCCACAGGTTCAGGAGGGACACCTACATCCCGACCAGCGCCACAAGAGGGTACAAGAGCACCCTGGGCTAATACACCACAAACTCAAGGTATGCAAGCTACAGCTGCGCCATGGGCAAATACGGCCGCACGAGCTATGCCTTCAACGAGAAGAAACATACCACCAACATCCTCAACATTTACACCAAGGCAAGCATGGCCGAACAATAATACGCCAGCAACATCAACAAACCCATCACATACTGATAATGGCCCAACACGTGCACCATGGGCAAAATGAATAGAGGATCACATAAATTTTGAAGCTCAAGCAAAAAGGATACAAATAATACCCAAAATGATATTTCAGGGGAATTTAGCTAGTGGTACATGCATGGATATACTCCGTAGATTTGTGCATGAAAAAGCGTTAATCATACGTTCCAAAGGCTTCACTGATCTATGTGGAGACAAATGACAAACTATTTGAAGTTTGGGCGCGCATGGTCCCGTGCAGTGGCACATTTTCCTTTTAGTGTGGCAATCGGGTGTTACCTCATTGAACCCCGGGTGGGGCTTTTTTTTTTTGGTTTTTACTTTGGATAGATAATTAGGTACGGAGTAGGTAGGTAGGTAGGTATCCATAACTACCTAGGTATGGTCTGTACTTCTGTATAACCAAGTAGGTGAACCTTAAACCCTGAGGGAAATTATGAAATTGAAACATTTTAGAATGATGAATTTCGGGTTGTTGATTTTATTGTTGGGAAATTTAAAGGGGATGGATGGGATGGATGAAGTGTGTGTTTTGATGTGTGTTTTGACGGGTGTGTGAGGAAGGTAGGTAGGTGTTGTGGTTTGAGATGTTAGGGAGAGGGAATAGGAGATGTGAGGTGAAGGGAGGAGAGGATGGTAGAGGAAAGTAGAGTAGATAGAGTAGACATGATTCAAATTTTATAGTATCTATCCAAAGACTCGGTAGATTCTAGAATTGTGAACTATCATCAGTCGGGTATCTACCGTAGCCAGGTATCTTAATAATAAGTCTTACAATATATATCCTTCGATAGAACATATACGCCATGACATAAGTAAAGATCGAATCAGTAATTATATTCTATATTCTTCCCAATTTCTATAATCTTTCATCTTTCCCATATCCTTCCATCTGCAAATATTCATTCCACTCATTTCGATACCTACCCTACAGAGGGAAGAGCAACGCTGCAGCTATGGGGCCTTTATGCTGCGGCTAATTATTACTTGCTTCCCAAATCCCACAAAGTGCCTTGTAGATATTAATCGTAAGAGTATGGTAAAGTGTCCTCCTACCTACCTATCTACCGGTACTTATTATCTATGTAAGATCTTGCTATGTACCCTAACCGCACGAAGATAGTGCAAGTACAAGTAGAATAAAATATCTATTTCTATGGTTAATTAGATATTCAAATTTGAAGTGAAACATCGTTCATTCATTTAATGTTCTCTCTACTAGACACAAGTAATTATGTAACTATGTATATATTTATTCATGATAATTCTTCGGCTTTCTTCCTCATCTTGTAGATCTTTTGATTTTTGTGTTGGATAAGTTACTGTAGAGGTTAATAACCCTGGTATTTGATGAGTTATGAGTTATGAGGTACATGCATGATTTGTAGATGGGTTGAATGTAACGGTTTGATATGTATGTTGATATGAGGGAACTGGACTGGACTGGGAAGGGTTTTCTTTCCGATGGATGATTTATTTTTAGGTTGGGGATGGGAGGGAGTGACATTCTAGATTGGTCGGAAGATTGAATGATTATGATATGAAGTGTAATAGGTAGGTACTGATTGAATGGGTGATCAACTACATCTTTTATATTTTGAATTGATCATCCTATCGTACATTTATTATATTGACCAGTTAGATTTGGAGAAAATTCAATAATTACCTATCTAGGTAGAATGATTTGATATTTCGGCCGATGTTTTAATACCTAGGCAGGTAAGTTTTCTTTATTCTTCATTTCCATTTGCGATAACATTGGATGGGATGAATAGTGTGATGTGTGTCCGTATGGCATGTGCATGTGCCCATTTCCTTTTTATTCCTAGAGAAAGAAGGTTTGACTCGAGTTTTTGTATCAAATCACACACATCCAAATGAGATCTTGACTCTTGATTCATCTTATCTTGAATATCATTTGGATCATCTACACCCAATCCAATCCAACCCAAGCTTTCTAGTTTTCTCCCTACTTCTTTCTACTCTACTCTACTCTACTCTGTCTCAACAACAATCACAATCACAACCACAACAAAACAAAACATCAACTTCTTTTCCATCATCTATCAATCCATCCTTCTATTTCTTCTTCACTCTTCCATCCTCTCGATCTCATCAAATTCCATCCACAAATAAATCACTTTAGGGTCAAACCATCTCTCCAAAATTAAAACCACCAAAGCCAAAAAAATCCACCAGAACCAATTTATCACATCTTCATAATTTTAAATTGGATCATCGAGGTCTCATAATCTCAGATTCTCCTTTTCGATACTTTGATACTTTGATACCAAAATAAAATTTAAATAACTTCATACAAGGGGGTTCCACTCTTGGAAAATCTATCAAAATGCCAGGCGTTCGTAAGTGAAATCTTTTCCATTTCCATCTATCTTCTTGTTCGATCCGTCGTCCTTCTTTCATTCATTCATTCATTCATTCGTTCGTTCATTCCTTCCTTCATACATTCATTCATTCATTCTACTAAGACGACTTTATTGTTTTCTTGAATTTGTCCTTCATTCTTCGTCCTTCGTTTTCTGTCTTTTAAAGCTTCTTTCAATTTTCCATTGTATTCAAATCCAAAAAAATATTATCGACGTTTGATTTCTTTCTATTGACTCTACTATAATACCATAATTCTATCCATCACTTAATAAATCACATATTTCAAAATGGGTACTTACTTTTCCACGAATTTCACTACATCTCATGTTTCTATCTATCAGTTTTTATGCACGTATCATCTGCGCGCAATAACTAACAATACTTCTTATAACAGCACCAAAAGCTTTAGAGACTCTCAAGGCCAAGTTCAAGGCTCTTTTCAAGGGAAAGAAATCCAAGAAGGCTGAAGAACCAACCGCCGGTGCAGAAACTGATGCCGCAGCTCCACCTACTGCAAATTCCGCTGTTGATCCAAATGACGATGGTACTGCACGTATGTTTTACAAATCCTAAATTCATACCTTTACACATATACTAATATATCTCTTAAACAGCAGAAGTAACAGCCACCGAACACACCCATGCTGAAGACCAAGATCCGACTACCGCAGAACAAACCTCAGCTGGAGCCGAACCAGCCCATGCGAACGAGACTGGTGAGCCTCCATATATAATCGGAACCTTGGTAAAAGCTCATAGTACTGATACTGAAATGGCAGCACCAGAAGCTTCCAAGGTCGAAGATCCGATTAAGACTGAACCTAGCGCACCAATAGTCTCTGCTACTGCTCCTCAACTTTAAATGGCATCTTTTCGATATCGATAACGCCGAGTTATATATGCATATGAAATATATAACACAGCAAGATGACCAATTTTCCTACTTGATATTTGAAGTACACGTACATTTGATTTCGAATTCGCCACTTATTATGGGAAATACCTAAATACCGATACCCTTTGATACCATGGCGGAGGATGGAGTGGAGGTGCATGTTGTAATGGCAGAGATGCGCTGGTTGTGGGTGGATGGATAATATAGTCTCCTACCCACCATGCTGACTAAAGCATGGTTGAGTATCAGAGTCAGAGCCGTCAAAACAGGATAATAATGTGTTATCATGTTTCCTTTGTGTTTTTCTTTACTCTTTTATGTCTCTATTCAAAAATTTTCCTCGATACTTTTTTTATTTAAGTTTTTTGAAAGTTAATTTTGTACGGATTGAGATGTGTTTGCTTGTTAACTAAAAAAAAAGCGACACATTTTAGTTGATGTAAAATTGATTTTTAAAATCGGAAAATCGATAAAGAAGACGTGGACTTTTTTTTTTAACTTGATTTCTTAGTTTTACTTTACTTTATTTGCTTACAGTTTCTAATTGTACTGTACATGGACGGGCGCGTAAGCGGAACGAATGGTCATATACCCCCTTATACCCTAAGTACCTGGTTCTTGTTATGGTTTGTGGAGAGGAGGAGAGGAGGAGAGGAGAGGGGAGGGGAGGAGACGGGAGGAGAAGGAGGGGGGAAGTGGAAGGAAGCGAGATATTTGTTTATAGGAATCTTGAATCTTGATCTTTGAATCTTGATCTTTGAATCTTTGAATGGTTTTGCTGGTGGGCGTGAGTGTGAGTGTATGTGAGTGATGTGATTGATATAAGAATTATTAAGAGTGAATAGAAAGATGAAGTAATTAATAATTAATTGATTATAATTTTTTTAATTTTGATGTCAATATAATTTATTTTTTGTATAAGAGAGATTATCCAATTTAAAAAATAAAAAATAATAATAATAATAATAATAATAATGTTAAAAGGAATGACCTCACACAGGGAATAGTGGGAAGCTGATAGGGCAGAACTGAGGTAATATTGGTCTAGTAGGTTAATCTATCTTCTAAGTTCTACAGAAGTGCGAAGCTCTCTTACAAAGAGCTTCTCAATCTAGTCCTAATAGGACTAGTGCCCTGTGCACGTGCTACGCAGGAACCATTCACTTTAACAAATAATAATAATAAAAATAAAGGAAGAGAGGAGGGAATGAGATGAGATGAGAGTAGATAGGTAGGTAGTTGAAGCCTGAGGGTTTTATAAATATAGGAGAGAGGAGGGAGAAAGGGGAGAGGAGAGGAGAGGAGTTATGAGTTTAGGATTGTGAGGGGATAATGAGGTGGATTAGAGGAGGAGGAATATGTTACGACGGCTTCGGATCTCGTATCATGTGACCAATTATGTAATCACATGGTCCCTTAGATCCCCTCGGTCTCTTGATCGAAGGGACCGAGGGGACCAAGGGGACGATTAGCATGAAGGTCTATATAACCAAGATGGATTTCCTTTATATAGAGCTTCGTGCTCAAGATCAATCATTTAGTATACTCTACTATTAGTTACGAATAGCATATCATTATTGTCATTACTTAAGTCCCTGCTTGACGCCTAGTTATAAACCACCTCGAGAGCCTAGAGCACTTCCACGTGATCTAGACGGCTACCCTCGTAACAGAATAGAGGGATAGAGGAAAAGAGGGATAGAGGAATAGAGAAGAGGAGAGGAGAGGAGAGGAGGGAGAAAGGGGAGACAGAGAGAGAGGAGAAAAACGGAAGTTGTGAGTTTAGAATTGTGAGGGGTTATGTAATGAGGTGGGTTAGAGGAGGAGAAAAGGAGGAGTTACTTACGTACGGGTTTAGGATCATTAATGAAAGAATGAGTAACGAGATGAATTGGGAGAAAAGGAAAACAAGAAAAGAGAAGAGAAGAGAAAAAGAGAGGAGAGGAGATATATTTGATATTATTATTTGTTTGTGATTTATATCTAGATGGATGGGAGATGGGAGATGGGAGATGTCTAGATACATATGATTTTATTTTATTTTATTTTATTTTATTTTATGTGTTACGTGACGGTTGTTACCCACTAGTGGCTCACGTGCACTAGCCCTTTATATAAAGACCTTCTTACTTAGAATCTTCTTAGTTCTTTAGTTTTAGATTCTAAGTAATTGAATTGACTCCGTTTACGACTTTTCCGTCACATTGTGTTATTTATTTAATTATTTATTTATTATATCACATTATACCTTCTGTGACGCCTCACACCTTCGGGTCACGTGGCATGCCCCGTTTGTATTTAATCACAGGAAAACTCGCTACTATTGTTTTCCTTCTTCTTTTCTCCTTAGCTTAGTATTTTCTAATACAAGATACTCTACCCAGTATTCTTGAGTGTGACACCTTCCCACACAAAAAGAACTAGAATAATAAACATATTTCATACCCTCATTTATATATCACAAATCCATTTATTTATCTTCTTCCTCTTCATACCTATTCCTCTTCATACCTATCTATTCCTGTACCTATATCATATAATATCTAAACCCAACCTATATCCCTATATACCCTCCAAAGGCTCTACCATCTCTATCCTATCTTCACCCCATTCTCGTCTCCTCATCTCCTTCTCCTCCCCCCGCACCCTCCAACACCCACCCATCATAAATGCGGTACCCCTGCACTCGCCAATCCCAAATTAACAATACTAACCACACCCTCTCCCAAAATCAATCCACTAGCCAATACCACAATTGGAGTCTCTTCTCTCTTTCTATACGAACGCCAGTATAAATTGATGAATCCACCTATTGCACGAGCGAGAGTAAAGGATGGAGTATTATACATGCCTATTTTTGAGAATTAGTATTTACTCGAAAAAGAAATGAATGTGGAGAAGAAAGATTGGATGAGAACTAAACATACCAACAGCTACCGCAATACCCCCAGGAATATAAGAATGCCATTTCTTTCCCGTAGCATAAATTCTTAATAACGTAGTCCCTGTAAAAATAACTACAGCACCAATTGCCCACTCAGCAGCCATATGTGGTAATCCCTTCCCGGTTACCAATCTCGCCGTGAAAATCCACACATATCCAGTTGGAACCTGGAATAGATCTCCTGGAACTTGATATACATTTGTATAAAGTTTATAGATTAATGCGCTTACCACAGCACCAACTGCACTTCCGATGATTTGGCCCCAAAATTGTGCATTTGGTGCCGCACCTAAAAGATGTCCTGTTTTGAGATCTTGCATCAAATCACCGGCTTGGAGAGCGCCAGCTTCGGAAACTGCTCCTGCGATGAGATTAATGAGGATAGAGTTTTTGTTTGATTGAGGGATGATGAGGGCGAAGAATAGTTGAGCTAGTTTAGAAATTCCAGAGACAGGATTGAGGTCAGTTTCTCCCAAGGCTCGAACACCCATGATGGAGAGGACGAGGGCAATTAAAACGGCGATGATGGTAGCGTAAAGAGGAACTAAATCGCCAAATACAACGCGGATGCTGAATACACAGAATACAATGGAGAGGATAAGACCAATCCAAACAGTCTGAGAATTGACGAGATGTTCTGGAGGGGCATCGGGTTCTGGTAAATCTTTCAATTCCATCTGTAGATTATTACCTGAAAGTAATGATATATCACCACTTGATGAATGTTCACCCCGACGATCGCCGTTTATAGGAGCATATCCCGTGGTGGATGGTGGTATTGTAATTGATAAGAGACCCCTCCAATCATGTGTCTTGATCTTTTTTTGAGCCTCATTGATATAATGTCCACCATTCCTGATCAAAGGGGTAAACGCGATGTATCCAAGACTGATTACTGAATCGGCCAACATTATAGCTAATGAGATCCAAACAATCCAACCTTTGCTTCCTGTCTCCCAATCACTGACTGGTCCAGGAGCCCAGCCCCTATGTTTGGCTAGGGGAGAAAGTATTCCCCAACCAAGAAATGCTCCAAGGAGCATATGCGTAGTCGTCGCTGGACCCATAATAATCCCCTGTCCAACATATGCGAGAGATGGATTCAAAGTCCATAACCAATTTTGAGCAATTGCAGTACCAAAAATTGGTAACTTCCGTAAAATGGGGAAGAAATAAGTTGCCAGAGTATAAAACCCTGATATCCCGAATGAAATGACTAACAGCTTAACCTTTGAT